ACTGTGAATTGGTTTTCTTGCTTCATGATTTCTTACGTGGTATGGGGTACGTTTTGTCACGTGCCAGAGTATTCCATCGATTCCTGCGTTCTTAATGTCTCCTTTCCATGTTGTGGAGACAGCACACAGTAGAGAACATGTGCCTCACGACAGGGGTGAGCTGGCAGGCAAGGCACGTGTCACTCAGGTGAGGGCTACTGCCTGGTGGGCCAGTCTGTGTCTTTGAGAGGACATTTAACCTTCCTGTGCCACACTGCCTTTACCCCCTCAGTGTTAACAGTAACCAGGCGTGCCTGTTCTGAGGTCTGAAGTGGCTTAATGCTGACAGTAAGAACTCTGAATAGATTCTATAGTTACAGTTGTTGTCATGTGAATTACACATAAGTCCTATGGAATACTGAATCTGTAGAGAATGTCCTTGTGATTGAATATGCCTAGGGGCCCTTAGACCCAGTGTTAATATCACCTATGGACTCCTGCGCTGATGCCGTTCTGCAGTTTAACTCAGATGGGAATTTGCTAAGGAGCTCTTACAAGCTGTAAGTGGAGTGGATGGATGGTCATTACTTGCCTATGATCTTTTCTCTTGTTAGAAAAGGCACATTGCTCAAGTCTAGATGTTCTCAGGAAAGAGATCTGTTGCTTCTTTGGGGAGGGTGTGAACCATGGACACAGTGTGTTTGCACACTCACCTTGTATGTCGGGTTTAATGGTGTGCTGCAGTTTTTGGTCTTGGTAAAATTGTTAAGAGTTATCTCTTAATGTTGAACTAGTAAATGTATTTACTAATCATGCAGTAAACGTAGAAAACATAGGAACTCAGAAGATTTCTAAATCATTTCCTAAGTCTAGATACTCTGCCACTGGTCTTCAGAGAGAGGCATGTGTGGTTTGTAGTGTTGCCTGGGATTGTTACTGTGTGTCACCTTAGAGCCACTGAGTCAGCAGTTGACAGGCATCACTCTGTGAATTAACATGCCCTCTGGATGATTCTAATGTCTGTGGAAGTTTCATAGTAACTGGCACAATTTATTAGTCACATTCTGCATTTCAAGTTATGCTTGAACTTCACTCTTGTAGGTAAAGGTGACAACGTGCCCCAGGCAGGCTAATGGCCCTACTGAAAGCAGATATCTCTGCTCTTCTTGCATTGATGCCCAGAGGGACTGAATAGAAGTATTGCATCTAACCGAATGTGTAGCATGGAGTGTGGTAGTGAGGTCTTTAGAAGTGATTTTTCACTTGAAAGTTGGAATAGAACTAACTTTTAAGGCCTTTGCACTTTAAAAATGATCTGCTAAAAATCAATAACCTTCCAATAATCATAACCACAAATACAACCCCCACTCCTTGCCTCCAAGAAACAGACTTCAGGGGCTGTATACGTGACTCGTGGCTAATAACACTTATTGGTTTCCAGAGGACCCAGGTTTGATTCCCAGTACCCATATGATGGCTCACAAGTATCCCAGGGGATCTGATGCCCTCTTCTGGCCTCTGAGAGAACTAATCATGCATGTGGTACACAGACATACATACAAGGAAAACACCCATACACATAATAATAATTCTTAAAAGGAAAAACATATTTCATATACAGAAGAAAACCTTACAGTGTATTAAAGTAAAATATATCTTTTATCTCAACTTATAAAGAAAATTCCTTTTAGGTACATATGATGTATTATTTAGAAATTTATTCATTCATATAAATTAATGAATGAGGTATTTGAAGGCATTTTTGTTAAATTAATAAAAACTGTGTTTCTTAAACCATTCTACTACATATATATATGTATGTTTAGTTGGATTTTCTAAGTCATTCTCTCTTATGCACACAACAGTGTTGGAACTGAATTTAACTTTTCTAGTCATAATAGTAAAGGAAATGATAAATGTTGTAAAATACATTAAATTATTAGCAATGATTAAGAATAAGTAAAACAATAGTCTTTCCTCTCAAACTGTTCCATGCCACATTTCAACTTGAAAGTAAACTTAGAAGAACAAAGAACAAGATGTAGTTTACCAGAATCCTGTATTTCGTCTTCATGAACTTTATTTCTTCAACAATTCAAAATAATACACAAGGGAGGAAAGTCCACATTAGAACATGTAAATTGAGTAAATGTCAGTGGAGTTCAGACTGGAGCCCTGGGCGCTGGGGTGTGGCCACTTGATAGTGGCATGCCTTTACACTCTGAGTACAATCAGTTCTTTCTACTATGGATTGCTTCAGATACCTCCACAGGAAGACTTACTGAACACTATGGCATTTTACTATCCTTACCTTATGCTTTTACATTCCTGTCCCTTCAGCACGGGGTATAGAGCCTACTGCAGGGATGTCAATTAAAATTTAACAGATGCTTCTCAGGTAGCAGAATCAATGACATTTTCAGATCTTGTATTTTATTTCTACAAACTGTCACATGTTCCAGGGCTGTTAAATTTCAAGTATAGAGATTGGATTATATACGTGATGTGTGTAGTGCTTCTCAATGTTTGAAATATTTTAGGCATCGTATGGTCACCATAGTAATTCCGTCAGATGCTCATCAATGCTCTCCATTTAAAGATGAGGGAATGGTAGAACCCAGTGGGATTTATAAGGTTTTTTGCTGTAGTGCTTCCAGGGTGTGTAATGGAGAAGAATTTATCATGTCTGCCCTCTACTGCTCATGTGTAAGCTGCATGATATTTTATGCTCATCAGAATCATCTCAAGTGACAGCATTCCTCTTACGTAAAGGCAGAAAAACTAGAGGTAAAAGATGATTAGCTCAGTGTGAGAACTGTGGGATCGGGGTGGGGGGGAATCCATCCCTGTATGCTGGGAGCACATCACTGCACACTGGGAGCAGACTCCAGGCTCCCTGGATTTACATCCAGGCTTTACCTCTTAAAGTTTGGCAAATCTGAGGGAGTTCCTTCATCTCCTATGCCTTAGTTTCATATTCTATCAAAGAAGCAATACCAGTGACATAAGGTTATTTTGGATATTAAATGGACATAGATTGTTGCCCCAAGACAATATATTATTACCGAGCAAATAGAGTAATTCTAAAGATAGGAAGCAGTTGCCTTATTCCATCAATTTCTTAACAAGTTAAGCAACTTACATGAGAAGAAAGAATATTAATACAGAGTCTTGCATTTTAAGAAGTTATGATACTAAAACTTCAAGGGAAAACATTACAAAAGGTTAAAATGATTCCATCTGGCTTGAAAAGTGGGCATAATGAAAGCTCTCTAAGACAGCACAGACACGTTTTGTGGGGGGACCCTGGGAAGGGAGAGCACATACTATTTCTGGACTCATGTTTGTGCAGTATTTACTTTAGTCCTTTCCTATGGACTAAACAACAGAAATATTGTCTGGTCTACTTGGAGTAGAACCCATCCAGTGACCGTTCCAGAAACCCATTCATCATTCATATCAAATATTGTGCTTCCAACATTTAAAACTGAGAGTTATTTCTTATGAAGAGCTTGCTCTTATGTTTACCGTCTCCACACTTTCTGTAATGCTTTGTAAATGTGTTCTGACTCTTGATTCCTTTTTGACATTCTTTTCCAGTTCTTTATTTCTATAGCATGTAAATCCTCCAGAAAGACTGGCTAAGAACAATTTGCACTGGTTACTGATCTCAATATAAGCCCAGTAACAAAACGTGAGACAAATACCTTTGGTTTCTTATTAACCATCCAGTGATAAAGAACGAACGGTCTGGTAATAAACAATATATCTAGATGCCGAGCTGTTGCTTTCTCTTATTGGTACCGACTTGAAATATCTTACTCAAAAATTAATGTGAAGAGATTCCAGCTAACAATTGAGGTCTTTCTGTCTGACACCGTATTGGTCCAGTTTTAGACCGGTACTGACCCTTTTAAGAATGTACAGGTTTGAGTTTGGCTTCGTTCTTGTCTTTTCGGCAGCAGGTCTTGCTTGGTAAATCTCCCAACTTCTTTGCTTGCTGAAGTAGCAGAGTTCTTATTTACCTTTGGCATTATGAGCAGACAGTGCTCTCACAGCAAGGCTTCCCATCAAAGCAAGCAGCAACGACAGCTGATAATGTACAGAAAGGAAGAAAAACCCTTTCTCTGTTCTGCATGTCAGTGAGAAACATTTAAGTATTTCCTTTTAGTCTTGATTAACAGGAGACCAGTTTACCTCACACTATTTTTTGGCCTGAGGAAGTCTGTTCTCTGCCCTTTTGAAAATTTTACACACAGAGGCCAAACCCTGGCCTCTTTTCTCAGAGAGATATCTTTCAGCCTCTGCAAAGGTAGGGGAGAGCTTGGCCCAAGGTTCCAATGTGACACATACACTGATGATTTACCAGAAAATGCAAACACGAGAATGGCTCACGTGACCTCTGGCTTGCTAAAAAAGCTTTCCCTGAACCAGGGGAACATAGAAATCTAATAAAATAATTCTCAAGGACTGTAAAGTCACTATTTAAGTATCACAAGGTAAATGAGGGATCAGGGAAGACAAGAATGCAAAGCCTCTAGGAGATTACTCTTTCTAATAAGGCAATCCTTGAACTCTTGTAAACACTCTAATTAGAGCAGCTGTTTATTGAACTGTTGGTCTGCTGTGTCAGGAACTGCGTGGGCATTTTCATTACTGTTCACAGCAGCTTCTCAGGATGGTCTCGTTTTGTTTGTTTGTTTTGATTGCCCTTTCACGTATTAGTAAACAGGCTCGAGGAGCTGATATGTTTAATAAATGGCAGAACTAAGATTTTTATCTCACCAGGTCAGATAGGTCAGCCAGGTGCTTTCAAGTGAGACTTGTTAGCGCATGATAAAATGCTGAAGTAGATGGTTACGGTAACCACTGTGTTCAGTTGTGTTGCCTCTCGCCAAACACACTTCACACGTGCTGTTTCGAATCATCCATTTGATGGTTTCTATTACAGTCTTTGACTATTGCTTGTTTGAATATGTACCTTTTGTGTAATTGCCTCTTCCTTTTCCTTCCCCCTATAGTTGCATTAAAATCCACCCCCGCTGACAGAAATGGAAGCCAGGACCAGTGTAGAGGACAAGTCAGAGACTGGCAGGACTTGCAAGAAGGAGAGTTCTTGTTACAGGTAACTCTCATAATGCAGTGCCCTCGAGTAGGACATGAGCACACAGAAGCAGAGGATTCATCTATCCTAATTTCTCTTAAGTCGCTGAAGACTCACTGTGCCAAGTTCACAGCAACTGCAACACTGGTCTTCTCTAGTTCCTGGCAGATGGGATTATGGGAAGTGGATTCATCTGATCTAATCACCCTGGCATTATGGGAACTGGCTTTATCAGGTCTAGTCATCCTCCCTGTTGCTGCTCTTGATGAATCTGTGTGCACTTTCAAGAATGATGCTCACGTACAGAGTTAAAGCATGTACTCAATGTACGAAACCCATTCTTACTTAAATTTTATTTTTAATGTGTAATATTATAACTTATATATCATTTGAGCAACAATGTGTGACTTACATGTTATAGATTTTTTTCCATCAACCATAGGCCCTCATTTTGTGCTTTAGAATGAGGGAGTTTCTAATAGGTTTGATGGTGGATAGGTTCTTAAAATTTTGAACTGTATCTTCTTAGAGTAGATACTACACCTGGTTCCAATAGCATCAGCAGCTACTTAATGATTTTGTGGATCTTAAATGGAAGGGGTGAATGTGCATGATAGTGCCAGTGAAGTTCCCTGATTGCCCTCAGTTCTAGCCGGTGAAGTGAGCGCACAGCTTGGTGTCTGTTCGCTAACTCTGTTGCTGGAATGGAGTTGTATCGTGTCCTTCCTATTGCTGTAATAAGACACCATGAGTAAGCATGACTTGCAGAAGGAAGCATGCACTTGGGCTTACAGTATCAGAGGGTTAGAGTCCAACATGGTAGGGAAGAATGACAGTAAGCAGCAGGCACAGCAGCAGGAGCAGCAAGCTGAGAGCTCACATCTTCACATGGGAGCACAAATTGTGTGTGTGTGCACACACACACACACAGAGCGGGGGAGGTGGTGGGGGTGGGGAGAGAATGAACTGGAAATAGAGTGAGACTATATAATCTCAGAGTGACTATATAATCCCCTAGTGACTAACTTTCTCCAGCAAGGCCCCATCCCAAATAGTTCCACCAAGTTGAGACCACGTGATCAAATGCCCATGACTAAGGGGACAGTGTCCGCTCAGTTACCACACTCCATCAGCCTGCCATGACCTAGAGGATCTGGTGTTTGCCCTGCTAGGTTCCAGGCTGGCTTGGGTCCAGTATTGCTTCCCTGTGTTCCATTCCTCCCTTTTGAAATGATCATGTATATTTTATGCCGTTGTATGTTGGAAGTGTACAACTTGCCTTTTGGTTTTATAGGGGGTTATAGTTAAGAGATTGTCTTGTGTCTCAGGGGAGACTTTGAGTGGGGACTAGTGAGAGCTTTTTGATTTAAAGTTTCTAGCAATGGACAGTTGACATGAGCACCTTTGTAATCCAAGAGGAAGATAACCCTTTCGTTCACACTGACCTTGAAAAACCATGAGCAAAATAAAAAAGAAGGACTCATTAGCTAAAAGAAGGAAAGAACACAAAATAATCATAATCCTAATACAGGCTCGAGATAGAAGGGACACAGTGCAGCCCGGACTAATAGAAATAAGGAAAGAATATAAGACAGTGCGTTTCAACGTGAAAATATTCATAATAAGATGAAATGTCAATACATGTATGTGTTTTATATCTGAGAATTATATTTAAATTATTTGAATGTTATATTTTATATGCATTGTATTTCCAATAAATGTTTAGATATCTTTATAGTTCTTTGAAAGCATCTAAATTTCAAATTCAATCAGTGCAGGAGGTATTTTGGATGGAAGCAGTTCTGTCTCCTGACTAGCTTTCTCCACTTAAAGGTCCAAGTGATTTTTCCTACTGTTCCCCCTGAAGGAAGGCATGCAACCATCGTGAATGTTTTCTGTGCAGTGTATTTTATTTTATATCAAAAATTAGATGCAGTGTATTTTAAAGAAATCTGGAATATAAGGAAACTAGAAAGCCTGATATTCTATTCATGTACCGGTTTGGACTTTAAATTTAGCTGTAAGTTTTTTCTCAGCCAAGCTGGGGCCATGAGTAGATTCACTGTAGTCCACATGCAGTGTACCTGTGTTTGCGGAGGGTAAGAGTTTTAGTCATTTTGAAGAGCAGGTTTTGAGAAATGAAGAGAAACGGCCTTCTACCTAACTGTTAGTATTTCTGTGTGACAGGTCTACACTCCACCTCTAACACACCTTCCTGTTTGCAGGCCCTGAACGGCTTTGTTCTGGTTGTCACGGCAGATGCTTTGATCTTCTATGCTTCCTCCACTATCCAAGATTACCTGGGCTTTCAGCAAGTACATACATTCCTCTTCCATCATTTAAAATGATTATGTTTAGAAAGTGAACTTTCTCCTGCTTTATCTGTTTTCATAATGTAAGATCAAAGTTGACCGTTTGTAAATGGAAAGTCTTGATTAAAATGGGTGCTGTAAGAATTGAAAAATATATTTTAGGCTGTTGATTTTTTTCAAATTTGATGACATACAGCAAGGATACTTTGCTCCGTGGTTATTGTTTTTCTTTTGAATTTATCAATAATCTCATAAGGAACTTTTAGGGGGCTGCAAGTGTAGCTCTATGATATATATAGTACCTGCTATGCTGTGTTCAATCATTAGGCTGGCAGAACAGGGCAAGGAGAGAAACTTTGAGGCTGATCAGGTTTTGAAGCAGACAGAACATTTGCCATTAGATAGCATGGGCTTCAAAGGACATAAAACAGTTACAAAACTAAGGAGATGCTATGAGAAGGCACATGTAAAATACCGTCGTTAATACTTTTAGCTCTGGTGCATTTAGATTATGAGTATTACCTTGAAAGAAATGTTTCAACACTGAGCTTAAAGCACATAGAGTGCACGGACGGTTGATGAGGGAACACAGGGAAGATAGAAGTGCTATGAGCAGTAGACAAGAAAGCCCTGAAAGACATGAGTGTTTGCTGTGGGAGGAGTCTTGAAAGGATGTTGTGGGTGGTGGTCAGTGATGCAAGAGTCACTAAGACAGAGCATTGGGAGAACTGTGAAACAACTGGTACAGTTGAGGGATGGGAACATCTGATGCCCTCTGGGAACACACCAGCAGTACACCTGAATGCGTGCTGGTCTTCCATATCTGGTTCTCACATTGTAACACCACAAACATCACCTGAAACATAGACTATCTGGACTCCATTTCCAGATATCCCATTGCAGTGGGTCATCGTGTGGCCTGTGAGTTAGCATTTCTCTAATCTCACAAGGCTCTTGGTCTGCATACCACAGACTGTTTACTGCATCTGTAGTTTTTAGTATATATACAGTGACTATTCACTGGTACCTTTCATTAGAGAGAAAGCGGATGCTTTATCTATATTCCGCATCACTCTGGCAACTATGTAACTGATTTAATTATACATTAAGTTTCCAGCAAGACTAACCCAGTAGGAGACGATTAAAGCAATGGTATGTGGCCAGTGTCACAAAAGCTAAATCTTAGTTTTCTTTATTTAAAACAATGTATTGCCGTTAGAGGGATTCATGGATGAGATAGGGCCTAGAACAGTGGTTCTCAACCTTCCTAATACTATGACCCTTTAACATAGTTCTTCTTGTTGTCGTGACCCACTCATAAAATTTTTTGTTGCTACTTCATAACTAATTTTGCTACTGTTGTAAATTGTTATATAAATATCTGATATGCAGGATATCTGATATGTGACCCTCCCCCCCAAAGGGGGTGCAACCCACAGGTTGAGAACTGCTGCTCCAAAATGTTCTCAGCTGGTGTGACATAAACAAGGACTCTGAGGAGATGTTAATATGGTACATTTGAGGGACAGGAAGCTGCCTTGTGAGCCAGAGCATTCACATCAGGAAGTGATGGCAAATGTAAATGGTTGGTGGTCTTTGCAAACCATCATTTGTGTTCAGTTCATCAATGCTGACAGGTGCCCACTGATCTAGACACCTTTTGAAACTGCTTTCCGAAACCTTATCATTCTTTTAAGTCACTACATTTATTTCCTCATGCCCCTTTCCTTTAGTCTGATGTCATACATCAGAGCGTATATGAGCTTATCCATACAGAAGACCGAGCGGAGTTCCAGCGCCAGCTCCACTGGGCTCTAAACCCCTCACAGAGCACAGACTCTGCACAAGGATTGGACGGTAAGAAAGTTTACCAAATGATGATGCTCATGCTTTTAGAATAGTCTATGAAAGGAGTCTGAGAAGTTGCAAGGCGCAGAGGTCCATGCTGAAGATAGGGAACAAGTCAGGCAGTGTAAGTCGGTAGCTGGAGTCAGAGCCAGAACACAAGAGGATGTTGAGCCAGGGAAACTGTAGCAGAAGCAAACCATAAAGGATGTCATAAAGAGGGTTGTGTTGTTAGTAATGTGACTGTGTGTCTGTACCCACCTGTGGGTACGTGTGGAGGCCAAAGGTCACCAACCTCAGATGTCATTCTTTGCACACCTTCCATCTTATTTTTTGAAATAAGATTTTCCACTGGTCTGGAGATCACCAAGAAGTGTAGGCTGCTTCGAGCCAGAGGATCCAAGTCTGTCCCTCGACAGCCCTGGGATGCTAAGCGTGCATCTCCATGCTTGGCTTTTCTTGACATGGGTTCTAGAGATCAAACTCAATGTCATGCTTGCATGGCACTTTACCAGTTGAACTCTGAACCAAGCCCAAAGCAGTTCTGTTTTATAAAACCAACACTGGTACCATTGTGAAAGGTGGGAGGAATATACAGGCTTGCAACTGAAGACTGTAAATCATTCTTATTAAAAATTTAATAAGAATTTACACTATAGAATTAAATATATAATTCTTATTAAAAATTTTATAAGAATTTACACTACCATGTGCAAGAATCAAAACATTTTTTCCTGATGTATGCATTGTTTTATGATACTGTGAAGCCAGTGAGGAAACAAAACCACTGTTAGACATAGAGACATAGTTGACAGCAAGAGCTCAGAATTACAAATATAAAGAAAAAGAAAGCAAGTTCTACAGTGTAAAAGTGTTAATGAGTTTGGGGCTTTTCAATTATTTTTGAAGTGGTATATTTAACTCAATATACGGACCCCAGTTCCAAATCTGTCAGTTTTAACTGCTGAAACCCTTGATCTCACAGCAGACATAAGGTAGACTGTGCTGTTTCCTTCCTACAGAAGCCCATGGCTTCTCACAGCCAGCTGTCTATTACACCCCAGACCAGCTTCCTCCAGAGAACGCTTCTTTCATGGAGAGGTGCTTCAGATGCCGGCTGAGATGCCTGCTGGATAATTCATCTGGTTTTCTGGTGAGGTGCATAATCTTAAAATATTGTAGTTTTGGATGACTTAGTATAATAAAAGAAAACAACTCTTAAAAGCTAACATTTTAGGACCAGTAAATTGGCTCAGGTGGTGTAGTGTTTTCCTTGAATGGGGACCTGATTTTGACCCTGAGAAGTCTGGCATGGTGATGTGCACCTATATACAGTGAGGGAATGATAAGAAGAGTCTGGAGAAGGCTGACCACTTATACGCATACATAAATACACACACATGTACATACACATACATACAAACATGTACACACACATACCCTATATATGCCACATAAACTCACATATGTGCGCGCACACACACACACACACATACCACATAAACTCATACTCACATACACACACCACATAAGTTCACACATACATACATACATACACACACACACATACACACACACACTAGTATTTTGTTTTTTAAGTCTCTTGCAGCTCAGAAAACCCTATCATTTAAAATGAACTTGTAGCAATTGACATAACATGGAACCTTGTATGGGTGCTTTGAAAGAAATTTTAAGACTGAGAGTTAGCTCGCTTCTCTTCAGTAGGATGCCTAGCATCTACGGGTTGTATACTTTCCACACAGGGAAGCATAGATGTATGTATGTCTGGGACAAATGCCAAATCAAATGCTTGTATTTGTGGTTCCAGACTTAGCATCTGATAGTCGGCTTCCTGCAAGAAGTAACCCCGGGAGCCACTTAGCACTGTCCTGAGAGAGACTATGAGATTCCAGCCACAGGCAGAGGAGAGTCAGAGCTTACACTAAGCCTCACGATTCAATGCATTTTGTTAGTGCATTATTTTTGACAATTGTTTTTGCTGACATGGAGTTAGAGTTGTAATCTGAGATGGCATTCCAAGTACCACTGCCTAAGACTGGATAATGGGATTAGGTGGGATTTCTGTGTGTGCCAGGCTTCTACACGGCCTTGTACGTTTCATTTTACTGCTTGAATAAAATTGTATTTTTTTCCTCAGCAGAAAAGATTGTGGTGAATTATGTTACATAGATTGGACATGTTTGAAAATTAGTATGTTGTTTGACTGTATCACCACTCTTTCTTAAGCTATGCATTGAGTGCTTGGTGTGCAAAGGGCTGTGGAAGGTGGGAGTGGTCATCTGATTCTAGGCACAGAAATGATAGGGCACCCCTGTCATGACACAGGGGCAGGGTAACTCACTTGGTAGTGCCCACTTCCCCACTCTACCTTTAAATTTTTAATGGGCTTTCTGTAGAGAGAGGAGTGAAAATAAGTTAGTGGTTCTGAGCCTTGGGAATTGTCCTTCTATAACCCGACCCCCACCCCCAGGGATGTGATGGAACCTTCGAAAATGGAACTGTTACACACTGTTAATTTGAATGACTTTTTTTTAAGGCAATGAATTTCCAAGGGAGGTTAAAGTATCTTCATGGACAGAACAAGAAAGGGAAGGACGGAGCATTGCTTCCTCCACAGCTGGCTTTGTTTGCAATAGCTACTCCACTTCAGCCACCGTCCATTCTGGAAATTCGAACCAAAAACTTCATCTTCAGGACCAAACACAAGCTGGACTTCACACCTATTGGCTGTGATGCCAAGTAAGGGAGCCTTTTCACTCAGATCCCATCAAATGTGTCTTTTATTTCAGCAGGTCTGTAATTGTGTGAGTCGTGGCAGAGGTTCTAATGTGACTTACTACTATAGGGTAATTTCATCAATTTGACAAATGTTCTTACTGTTTTGTATTACTTACTATGCTTGGTTTATTTTACATTTTGCAAAAATATTTCTTAATTTTTAGCTTTAGAGTTAGATAACTATCTAAAGTTAGCTAGTTAACTAATAAGAATTTATATAAAAATTTAATTTTTTTCTCCTTTCATATGGGAGAATGCAGTGTAATAACTTGACAGGCCCTGTCTCCAAAGTACAGTGTGAGCCATCCATGCTTTTAGCTTTTGAATTCAATTTATTTTTATAATTAACTATACCAGGTTCAGTTTTTACCGTCTTAATGTTAATGGCCTTATTCTAAGGAAGAAAACAGGCTAAAACTGAAAATTCATAGCCATAAGCAAGAAAATGTTTTAAAAAAAATTAAATTAAAAGGATGTTTTCTATGTACTAATGTGAAAATTTTGAATGTTGTAGAAATCATGTACCACCAGTGAATGTATCCTGATTATTTTATGATCTGATTCTTTTATTTGAACAGAGGGCAGCTTATTTTGGGCTATACAGAAGTAGAACTGTGCACAAGAGGCTCGGGATATCAGTTCATCCACGCTGCTGACATGCTTCACTGTGCAGAATCCCACATCCGCAGTGAGTTGGAATTCTTGGGACATGCCTGACTAACAGACAGCACATGTACTAGAGCATATTAAAAATCTACTGATGCCTATGTGTGTGCATGTGGTGGTCAGAGGCCAACTTGTAGGAGGTGGTTCTCCTTCACTCTGTGGCCCCCTACGATCAACCTCAAATAGTCAGTCTTGGTGGCAAGCGCCTTTAGCCCTGGAGGCATCTCCCAGCACTGTGGTATACATTTCAAATTGTTATGTGTGATGATGTCTTCATAAAACTCCTGGGAATAATCCCATTGGGGTCAGGTTACCTTGGTTAACCAGTTTTGCTTTTTACTTCCTAATTTCTCTACAGCTGCTATGCAGTAATGGTTGTGGAATAATTATTATGAAAGTAATTAGTTTAGCCATCGAAGCTTTGTTCAGGGAATCTTTAATGGCATCATATATATATGATGCCATAAAAGATATATAATATATATGTTAATATAAGATCAGGAAATACTAAAAGTATTCCTCATTTAACATGAAAATTTTTACTTTTCCCCCCAAGCTAAGCTCTTCCTATGCCTGACATGTTCTCAATATTTCTCTTAACCTTTTACATATTAAGCTTTATTTAAAATGGGAAAGCACGGACTCTGAGAAACCATGTCTGTGCCTTTCAGTGTGTTTACTATGTTTAAAATTTTTCACGATATTGTCATAACTGATGGTTAATGGAATTCATGTGGAAATGTGTCAGGGCGACTTTTTAATTTAAAATATAGGTGTTTTATGTTTTAATTGTGTATGGACATTTGTCTGTGTGGGAATATGTAAGCACAAGTACAGGTGAACTGGGATGCCAGGAGAGAACTCCAGGTTCCCTGGGATTTGTTCACAGGAGGTCGTGAGCCACCCATCGTGGCTGCTGGGAACCGAACTCAAGTCTTCTGCAAGAGCAGCAAATTCCCGTAGCCAGCCGGTGAGCCTCGCTTCAGCCCCGCAGAGGGGCTTGGTACAGGGATGTACTGTACTGTATGGATGCAGGCTTTGGTGACCTTGTTGTAAATGTTTACTTTTAGTGATTAAGACTGGAGAAAGTGGCATGACAGTTTTCCGGCTTCTTGCAAAACACAGTCGATGGAGGTGGGTCCAGTCCAATGCACGCCTGATTTACAGGAACGGAAGACCAGATTACATCATTGCGACTCAGAGACCACTAACGTAAGCATCAGAAAAAGAGCACGTGCTGATTTTACATTTTCATAAGTCTTCTTGCATGACAATTTAAAAAACAATCTTATGGCAATGGAACCTGTAACTAAAAATTGAAAAGTTAAAACACTACATATAGAAAGAGCAGGGCAAAGATGAGAAATGTTGAAAAAAATAAAAGAAAAAAGTGACAAGCTTCATTGAGCAGCTAAGTAGATAAAGCTAAAAGTCTGCAACTCATCCTCCAGTTGAGGAGATGAAAGACAATGTCATCTCAAGGGAAAAAAGGAAAACTATAAAACTTGTTTATAGTACGCCCTAATTGTGCTATCTTTATACTAAATGCATGTCTTTTGTTTGTTTGTTTTTGATTACATTTTGTTCTCATTCATAATTGTCTTGGCTCTTCTTTTACTCTTTATGTTCCCAAATTTATTTTAGAACTCATTTATTAGAGAGTAAATTCTCAACAATAACAAAAAAAGTCTGTTGGGATTTTGAAGGCATAGCTCTTGGGAGAAAGAATTAACATTTGTGCAGAACTGAGTCATTAATCCATAACCATAGTGAATGTTTATATGACCCATAGGGATCCATGGATGTATGCTTCATAAAACCATTGATTGGTACAGCTAACAGATCTTTATTAATCTCTTTTAGGCTTAAACATTTTGTTTATCGATTTGCTGTTGTCCATTTGTTTTGTATTGCACTTACGTCTCTTAGTTATTATTTTATTTAGATATGTTTCTTTTTTAGTATTTATATATTTTTTCCTATGTAGTTCTAGCTCCATTTGCATAACACTAGCCATGAGGATAATTTAGTTCAAAATAAAATCCGTGTTCCTTGCGATCACACTCAGCTTTAGTATGTTTTACTTTTCTTTTCCCCTTGCTTTTAGAAATATCTTACTTAAATCACGCATGATAAAACTAATGGATTCTCCTTCTTGCCTACCCTGTTAGGGACGAAGAAGGACGAGAGCATTTACAGAAGCGGAGTATGACGCTGCCCTTCATGTTTGCTACTGGAGAGGCTGTGTTGTACGAAGTCTCCAGCCCGTTCTCTCCCTTAATGGATCCCTTACCAATACGCACCAAAAGCAACACTAGTAGGAAAGACTGGGCTCCCCAGTCAACCCCAAGTAAGGATTCTTTCCACCCCAATTCTCTTATGAGTGCCATGATCCAACAGGATGAGTCCATCTATCTGTGTCCTCCTTCCAGCCCTGCACCTTTAGACAGCCATTTTCTCATGGGCTCGGTGAGCGAGTGCAGTAGTTGGCAAGACAGCTTTGCAGCCACAGGAAGTGACGCTGTGCTGAAACATGAGCCAATTGGACATGCTCAGGACATGAACCTTGCACTCTCTGGAGGCCCCTCAGAGCTCTTTCCAGATAGTAAAAGTAATGACTTGTACAGCATCATGAGAAACCTAGGGATTGATTTTGAGGATATCAGAAGCATGCAGAATGAGGAGTTCTTCCGAACTGACTCCCCTGGTGAGGTTGACTTCAAAGACATCGACATAACGGATGAAATCCTGACCTACGTCCAAGATTCTCTGAACAATTCAACTTTGCTGAATGCAGCTTGCCAGCAACAGCCTGTGACTCAGCACCTAAGCTGTATGCTGCAGGAGCGCCTGCAGCTAGAGCAGCAGCAGCAGCAGCTTCAGCAGCACCCAACTCAGGCCCTGGAGGCCCAGCATCAGCTCTGTCAGATGGAGCAGCCCCAGGAAGATCTGGGTCAGAAAACAAAGCACATGCAAGTCAATGGCATGTTTGCTAGTTGGAACCCTACCCCTCCTGTGTCTTTCAGCAGTCCCCAGCAGGAACTACAGCACTATAATCTCTTTCCCAGCTTCCAGGGGACTGCTCAGGAATTTCCCTACAAATCAGAGTTGGACAATATGCCTTACACACAGAACTTTGTTCCTTGCAATCAGTCTCTGCTACCAGAACATTCCAAGGGTACACAGTTAGACTTCACTGGAAGGGATTTTGAACCGTCCCTGCATCCTACTACTTCTAACTTAGATTTTGTCAGCTGTTTACAAGTTCCTGAAAACCAAAGACATGGAATAAACTCACAGTCAGCCATGGTCAGTCCTCAAGCATACTATGCTGGGGCCATGTCCATGTATCAGTGCCAGCCAGGGCCTCAGCACACCCCTGTAGACCAGATGCAGTACAGCCCTGAAATCCCAGGCTCCCAGGCATTTCTAAGCAAGGTAAGGACTTTCTACAGCTGAGTAAAACTTGTAGGGCCTAAGTATCACCATGTTGTCTACTACAATTAAACATATTGTGAGAACCCTTTTAGACAGCAGGCAACTTCGAAACTGCTTTTAATGTATTTATGATCATGTAATTAACTTCATTATAATTTACTTAAAGTAGTATGAATAATAAATTATTTTAAATAATTTTCTTAAAAACAAGTTGATGTTAACATAATTTAATGACTGTTCTTTGTTACCACTCAGGAGGCTATCATGCTTACACCAATAAATATCTGTTAGCAAATATCAGTTTATTTGAAGATATACAGGTTTAGCGCCTAAGAATATCTTGACTGACAGGTAGTTCATTATGCTATTTGCTGCTTGAGTATAGACATCTACAAGTGTGGCTTGAATCCCAGTACTGGTTGTTTTTTTAGATTGTTAATACATCCGCTGTATCTAATTGTATGGGATTTCTTTTAATGGACAATGAAGATGATGGTTTTTTTCTCAATCTTTTTCCTGATAGCCCAACTTAATGTTAATTATAAAGAAAATGGATTAACCATACATTGGATATAATTTATCCATAAAAGAATGGAATATTAGTATTTGCCTCAAAGTGGTGCATCTGGAGGACATTATAGAACACAGAGAGCAAAACTGCATATCACATTCATGTGTGGAGACTTCCAAGGCCGATGCCTCCAATGCTGGAAATGGCAACAGAGTAGGGCTGGCTAGTGGGTACTAACAGACAGATAGCAGGAAGAACTTTGGGTCTTCTACAACAATTCATTGTAGGATTCAAAATCACTAGGAATCCAAATGTTCTTAATGCAAATGATAGATGAGTGTTCAAATTAAAAGATAATTATCTGATTTGCTTATATGTTATATAGATGAATTGAAATGTCACATTGTAACCTATACATATGAGTAATTGTGTGGCAATGAAAAAAAAACTAGCAACATTTTGGGCCAGAAGAGATGGCTCAGCAATTAACACTTGCTTCCACTTCTAAAGGACTTGTATTCGATTGCCAGCACCCACATGACAGCTCATAACTGTCCATAATTTCCAGTTCCAGGGATCTAGTGCTCTCTTCTGCCATCCTTGAGCACTGTGTACTTGTGTTGCACACACACACACACACACATACACACACACACATACACACACACATATACACACACATATATACATACATATATACATGCAGGCAAAACACCCACACACATAACATTTTATTCTTTTAAATAATTTATCATCTTTTGAAATGAAAATATAGTTACATTCTTTCCCTTTCTTTTCTACAGCCTTTCTTTTCTATCACCCACCCCCTTGCTCTCTTTCAAATTCCTGGCCTCTTTTCTTTCATTGGGGTGCGTGCGTGTGTGTGTGTGTGTGTGTGTGTGTGTGTGTGTGTGTATTCCTAAATACACATACAGACCTATACAGTCTATGTATTACTTGTAGGTATAGGACAACCCTGAGCAGCAACTCAGAAGGGTGCTTCTCATACCTAGTGTTGGGGCTGTAGAGTAAGTTCAAAGACAATCTGGAAAATGGTGAGACACAGAACAAACTTACAAACAGGTCAAGTATATAGATAGCTCAGTGGATAGCTCAGTGGTGGAGCCGGGTCGCTGGACCTCCAGCACTACAAAATAAGTGAGTTATTTGAGGCAACTAAAGGAATGATTTTATGATTTTTATTTTAAGTTTTTACTTATTTCATCAACTATACACCACAATATGAAGGTTCTATAGACTTTCAACTCTTATAACCATTCTTTCTTTTTTTTTTTTTAACAGTTCTGGAAACGAGACTGGTTAGAAGGCAGGTGTCTTAATTAGGGTGTGATGAAACACCATGACCAAAAGCAATTAGAGAGGAAAAGAGTTTAAATCACTCACAATTCCACAGAACAGGTCATCATCAAAAGCAGTAGGGGCAAGACCTCAAGCAGGGCAGGAACCTGGAGGCAGAAGCTCACGCAGAGGCCAGGGAAGAGTGCTTCCTACTGGATTGCTTTCCATAGCTTGCTCAGCCTGCTTTCTTACAGAGCCACACAATGGGCTGGGCCTACATCAATCACTAATTAAGAAAATGTTCTACAGACTTGCCTGCCTACAGCTAGATTAGTAGAGGTGTTTTCTCAGTTGAGGCTCTCTCCCCTCCGATGACTTTAGCTGAGTCAAGTTAACATAAAACTAGCCAGAACACCTGACCCCTTGTCAACTTGACACACAAAACGTTATTTGTCAGTCAGAACCTTTCCTTTCTCATTTATCCCCAAGACAACACACTAATATTAATATCACAATATAAAACATAAATGACTTTAAAAGTCCTATGGTCTTTGCAAATGTGAGCGCATCAAAAGTTCAGTCTCTTTGAAATATCTACTCTCTTTTTCTAAAATGGGGGGGGTTGTTTGTTTGTATTTAAACTCCAGCCCCTGCTGGGGCTACAGTTTGATCTTTTCTCAATTGCAAAATTTCCTCTCTGATGCAAGTAGCCAGTACAGCAACCTAGCATCTTTTTTTATTTGTTAACTTGCAGAACAATTTATTAAATGTGTATTACAAATAAATTGGTTTAAGATCATACCTGTAGTGTACCATTTCAAGAATAGCAGGAAACATTTGAAACTCAGATCTGGGCAAAAGAGCTTATGTTTGAAATGCTGTGTAGACGTTCAGGATAGAATCAGTTCACTGCCTCCAGGTTTCTGACTGGTGGTGGTAGGACTGAATAACCCTATGACACCCTGTGTCACATAATTTACCATCAGGCCCCAAGGCAGATGAAGTGAGGTAGTGTAGCATTCTTTATACCATCTTTAAATTATCTTGTAGAATTAATGGGAAAAGCTGATCTTATAAAAAAAAATCAGCTTGTAAGCCTTTCTCTGTGTGAGTTGAATGATGAAAGATTTACCCCTGAGCATCAGTAAAGGACTGTGAAGTAGAACAACCTGGAGGTCAAGGGGACGAAGATGTGTTTTTAAGGTGTTCCTTAGATCTTAACAAGCTGCTATGCTGTGTTTGTTTTCAGTTTCAGAATCAGGGTGTTTTAAATGAAACCTATTCGTCTGACTTGAGCAGCGTTGGCCACACTCAGACTGCTGCTGCTCATCTCCATCACCTGGCAGAAGCCCGGCCTCTTCCTGATATCACACCCAGCGGATTCCTGTAGCTCTGAGGCCAGGATGGAATCAGGAACAGGATACCAGAACTGTGAGGATTGGGCATCAGTGTGCTTTCTCCAAAACAGATTTCAGTCCTTGTGTTTAGAAACGGAGTTTAAAACCATACCTGAGATGTAGGTATAGATGTTACCTATAAGATGGGAAGCTCCGTGGGAGCACAGGGAGAGCTCACGGGCACCTCGGAGTGCTCAGTGCTTACTGTGGAGAACTCTCGGAGGATTCCCTGCTCAGTAACTTCAGTTGGGAAAACAGTGAAGTACTTTGAGCTTTGAACTTCTGGATTCTTGTTAGTTTACCAAATACGGAGTCACAGGACTAATCGATTTTCTATATTTTTAACCTCTGTTTTTTGTCCCAGATGTTAAAGTAAATGGTTTGGTGCTTTTATCAAAAGAAAAATCTCAATGTTTTCTTTCTGCACTGTTAATTCATATAAGTGCCTCACGTTTTGTTTATTTTTTTCTATCTACCTGCAACACAATAGGGTGTGTATTTTATACGAAATATTTTTTATCTTTTTTGAATTAATATTCTTTCTGCACACAGAAAGTTTCCCAAATCCCAACATTTTTTATGAATCCAGGCATGTTTTTACTGCACTACTCACCCCTTTTCTTCAGATAAAGGGCAAATGATAACTGAAAGTTAACTATTTATTATGTAATATAGTCGCTTCTGGGCGTTAGATGGTCCTCTGTGCCTTATGTTGAAAATTTTGAAGATAACATGTTGCCAAAATTATTTAATTATTACATACTATTAAGAGAGTAGCACTTGTATTTTAACAGTGTTTTCTGAGAAGTGAGATAATGCCACTCTGGCTTTCCCTGACACCTCCAGAGTGGGATCAGAAGGCCTCTATAGAAACTGCTAAAGGCGCCTGAGTCCATCAAGCTGCAGTGAAGGGAGGTCGGGTTTGTCCAGCTAGTTAGCTAACTTAAGCAGGGCACTCATTTCATTGTATCTAAATTATCTTTTAAAAACTGTCTTGGGTCTGTAATCCTTTTTGTTATTTTGACTTTATAAATTCCACTTCTCATAACTAGTGGAAACTATTCATTTTTCTCATATTTGAGGAGTGTTTGGGTGGAAGCTGCCATGTTTGGTGTGAGGTATTTTAATGACTGAAATTAATGGTGCATTGTATAAATGTGTAACGAACAAAATAATCTGTAAAATATTTTCAGTTTTCATTTAAGAATAGTTTTTACCTCATGTGCGTTTTTTTTCAGTGTATCTTGTTAAGAAATCAAATAATGAATTGAGGCTTTTGAGCTGGCATTAAGATGAAGATAAATACAGTTTGTTCACCTTCACATATTGTTTGTGTGATACAACCCTTTGCTACCAATATGACAAATTTTGTTGCTCTGCCAAATATACTGTTTTCAAACTGCTTAAAGAAAAAAAAAATCCCAGTATCTGTCATTGTCTTTGTCATTGCTTAGATATAATATATGAAGGATGTGGACCCGAATATGTTTTTCATATATTGTATAAAAATCTGATGAGATCCCAAACTGAGATGTATTCAAATATAGCAGTGATTCTCAACTTGTGAGTCGTGTCTCCCTTTGGAGATAGACTGACCCTTTCACAGGGATCGCCTAAGACCATTGGAAAACACAGAGATTTATGTCACAGTTTATAACAGTAGTACAGTTATAGTTTTGAAGTAGCAATGAAAATAATTTTATGATTGGGGTCACCACAACCCAAGAGACTGTATTAAAGACCTCATGGGGATGTAAATGAGACGGACTAAATTATGCCTCAGGTAGACCGGAGCCACTGAAATTCACGCTCTTTTTTTTTTCTTTTAGAACATTAATGTATGTAAACATGCCTTTGGATAAAAAGATCTCTTACTTCTATGCATTTTCAGTCAAAATTCTGAACCTTTAGGATTAAGCATTGAAAAACAACTGTCTAAAACATTTCACAATTTGCTTCCAGCATGAGGTATCATGGAAGATTTAGACCAGTGGTCTGAATTAGTATCTCGTTTTTCTATGTAAACTTTTCATTCAAAGTTGTCATAGAAACTATTTTGTCAGTCTCTTCTGCATGTTACCAAATGTTCAATTAAAAAAAAAAAACAAAAACTTTGGACACTGTGAGTATGGTGGCATTTAATTACACACTTATCAGACTGAAAGGCTTAAAAGCAATATTGTATGTTCTTACCTATATAAAAATAGCTAAAACATCTAATAAAATCACATTAAACTGCATATTCGTTTGTCTGTATTGCCAAGTGGAAAGAATGCGTAAAGCACTGTTATACTGAGGGATTAATTTCTAGATGAAATTCTAAGACTCTGTGTATGTCTGACTGAAGTTCTTCTTTTCTAGGTGTTTCTTATAGCACCTGAACACTTAGCCAATATGCCATTGTATCAACCTTTCAGTCATTACTATGCACAAGCTAGTTTGTTTCAGTATCAGTAGGTCTTAGGTTTACATCGCTTCTTGCTGTCCTTCAAAGTGTTATTGCTTACATATGCCATGCATAGATTTTGTTAAAGTATGATTTATAATGTCCTTAAATATCAAAGGAAATGTAAACAGTGATATAATAAACTAACCACCAAATATGAATGTTTTCATGCAAATTTTTCTTTCTGTCTCTATAGAGAAAACAGAGCCCTCTGGCATCATATGATGGCTAAGCAAAGGTAGTCTTTATAGAAAGACCAGCACAGTGCATCCTTCATGAAAGGGTCACTTAAAGTTTCTGATTGAACTATTTGATCTGAGCAAACTCAAGCTTACAAGTGATCGGTAGTCCCCTATCATTAATGTGTTTATGTTGGCAGCCACACATGACAGTAAGGTTGTGCAGTGTACCACACTACAGATGTTCACTCTGTGATGTGATAATATGCACGTCAGAAGAGCCTACGTCACATCACTTACTGTATATTACTGAATAATGATACATGACTGCAATCTTTCTGATTGTAAGCACTTAGTCCAATGGCTTTCTTAATTAATAAAATGATTAATAAAATGATTCCAGTTTACCACATCTCACCAAGACTGCTGACCTGAGGGTGTTGGCCACTCCAAGGAAGTGGGTGGTAGTTATGATTTCTGTATTAACACTCTGCAGATGACCTTGCTTCTAGTTTTACTAATAAAAGCAACAGTTTCACCCAGTGCTTCTCTATACGCTCATGTCTTCAATACTACCATTCTTAGACTTCACATTTCCTGGTGTATATAGGAGGAGCAGTTCCTAGGCCTTGAGGTAGACCCCCATCATTTTTTTTATACTTCGGAGTTAAAGATAAGCTATGTTTTCTGTCTCTAGCCTCCCCACCTCTGTAGATCTCTCTGTGGACAGGTTGCCATCAAATCTTGGAAGGCATGGTCTTCCCCCACCTTAGTTTAATCCTCTCATTTCCCATTGGCTCAGAGATTGTTTTTCTCCCCTCAAGTCCACTGCTTCCATTTCTCTTCCTTTCTGTGCAGTAATGTGGTTCACCCCCGTCTTTTGCACTTGTTCCTGTGATCAAGTTGTTCCTTCAGTGAACTTCTTTCTTCCTGTGACTCCCATGGCTTTAGCTTTCCTTCAGTCTCCTAACAGTCTCTCTTTTTTATCCCCTCACACCCTCTCCTCAGGTCTTTCAGCTCTCCAGCCACCACTTATGCCCTCTTTTCGTCTTCCATCTTGATAAGTCTTAGTTCTGGTTTTGGTTCTTACATGCTCATCCATTCCCTTGAGTGTAAGGTAAGTGACTTCCAAATAACAGCACAGAAAGATGGAAAAATAATTCCTAAAATACTTATACACTTAGAGAAGAAACTGAGGCCAAAGGTGTGAAGTGGCCTCAAATCGTTCACGTGACATGGAGGAGTAGATAAGTACATCTACTGACATAGACCAGAGCGGCTGGCTGTTCCTGCACAAGCGCTTTGCTCTATATTTCCATTTCACCAGACACTTAATTTAATCCATCTCATTCACATCTCCATGAGGTAAATTTACTTATTCCATTTTTATTAATGGCTGGCCTATATTTTTGAAAAGCAACTGAAATCTTCAAATGGTCATACACAGAATAATAGTCAACAAAATATATTTGTAATTTTTTAGAACCCATGTGTATGTTAATTTGGTGGCAAGGGACATTCTGTAGATGTTACTGAGTCCAGGACCTAGGGATAAGAAGATGCTATGGATTAGATTTAAAATGTCCTCTAAGGCTCTTGTTGCAGGGTTGGGGAGTAGCTTATGTTCTATTGAGAGGGGATGGATCCTTTAAAGAATAATATAACATGGAGGTATACTAGACACCAGGTGTGTGTCCTGAAAGGGGATTTTGAGACCAAATTCTTCCCCTCTTTTTCTGTATTTCCTGAGTCTAGTACAGTGAACAAGCCCCTTCTACCTTACCTCCTTCAAGATGTACTGGGCAGTAACATGGCCAAGAATCCATGGATGAAAACTTTGGAAGCCATAATTTATCCTCCTCTCTTAAAGAGAAGGCTGACTGACATATAGGCTGTCCTGGATTACCTGGGGAGACTCAATGTAATCACCAAATGTTCTTCTAAGAGGAAGGTTGGAGAGTCAGAAGGGAGGGAGAACAGAAAGGAGGACAGCAGAAGTATTTAAAGACACCATGTTACCATGCTGATGCTATTGAAAATGTAAGGCCACACCCAAAGAATGTCAGAAAGTCCAAGAAGCTAGAAAAGGGAAGAAAGTAATTCAGCCTTACCGATGCTTTGATTTCAGAACAGGCATCCTATAGTTTAGTGGTTTTTAACCTGTGGATTTTGACCCCTTTGGGGGTTGAAGGACCTCCTTTCAGGAGGAATCATATCATGCATACTAAATATTTACATTATGATTCATACAAAATTACAGTTATGAAGTAGCAATGAAAATAATCTTGTTGGGGGATACCACAGCATGAGAAATTGGATTAAAGGGTCACAGCATTAGGAAGAATGAGAATTGCTACTCTCGTTCTATTAAGAAGATACTTGTATTGTCCTATGGTAATTAATGCAGCAATCCATTATAGTAGCTGTTAGAAATTAACACAACTGTTTCAGATCTTAAGGAATGATGCCTCTGGAATGGAAATATCTTCATTTCCAGATCTTTCTATAGAAAGTATTGTTCTGTGCATTCTCCCAGGCTACAGCTCAGAGAACAGCCAGGAGGCCTTGGCACTATTCCTGTTGCTCCTCCCCACCTTTACGTCCCTCTGGACCAAGAAAAGAGATTCCACTTTATGAGTGACACAATGGTGCCTGGTTGGCTCCAAACTTGCCTCAGTGCAAGGACATATGGAAGAGTGTGTTGCAGTCTTGCTTTCTCCAGATGTTTGCCTCATGTTGGGAGTCAGGAAATGTGTGCATTGCTCACAGCCTCACATATGTTTCTGAGGAAGGGTCTTAATAATGTGTCTGCTGGTTGCAAATCACCATACAAATTGGCCTGATTCCTAGAAGAAAAACGGCTCTCCTGAAGTGGGTTAGACATTATACCCGCACTGTCGTGTATACATCTTCAACTAGTTCTTTGCATTTAAAATTAACCCACCTATTTTGAGGGTAGTAAGAATAGTTTGTTTGTTTGTTCAAACTTCTATCAGGGTATTATCACTTCATAGGGTCCAAGGGCAGCCCATTATATCAGGAAAAGTCACAACACTGTTAAAATACTGTCCATTACAAACGCCTTGCCAGATATTTGTGCAATGCCTTGTGTGCACAGAATTTTCAACTTATATTGAATCTAGTTTGATTATTATACAATAAAGAGAGTCGATAATCCTGCAGTTTTCTATTTAATGTCTTGAAGCCATGGCTGACTGTGGGTAACAACTACAAAATACAAATCTTTAGTATGGAGCTGCTTGACTTCAGGGTGGGTGTCTGTTCTAGGACACAGTGAGATGTGAACCACGGAGTCAAATATATGTCTAACTCAAGCATTTACAGTTTCCTTCAAAGATTTTTACACTGGCCCCAGTTCAGGTTATTCTTGGATATATCAAGGAATGAGCCCCCAGTCTGGTGGATGAGAGGCTACACTGTAATCTAATATTTAACTGATGTGCTCTGTTTAATATATAAACGTGTTAAGAACATAATTTAGAATAACTTGGCTATCTGGCCAAGTTTCAGGTTTCTCTCCTTGATTCAAATAAAGTGTGAAATTAAGGATAACCCACTGGGTACTTGAATCAGTCGTGCTCTTCCCCATGTTCATCTAGAAATCAATATGTGCCTCACAAAATTTCTGTGGCTTATCGACAAAAAAGACCTTAGCTACAGAGCGCCCATTGAAAGAGACAGGAATTTCTCAGTTTAAAGCAAAAGTGTTAGAACTGTTAGGTAATAAATTCTTGATGTCCCTTGAATTAGTGAACGGCATGCACATGCATCCCCTTCTCCAGGGTTCAGGGAATATCTCAAATAGAGGACAGAAGGGATGGGAGAACTGGAAGATGGGAAGGGGTGTAGTGTAGTGCTGTCTGCTGAACATGCAGGACTACTGCACTTATGAGCTCATAAGGCTCTGTCTCTAGCTGAGTAGCTACTGAGGTGGGTTCTAATGGAGGAACAGTCATTTTCTTTAGGGATATGGTTGCTGGGAGGATGGCCATTGGACTACTAACCAGACTCAGTGAATTATTAAATTATAAAAAGGATGTAAAAGATTGACCTTGGGTAGGCACATGGTACATTATATTGAGACGGTGAAGTTGTCGAATAATAAACAAAAATATTCAAAGATACAAAAATAAAAATGTATTTCAAATAGGAGGTTACTAACAGATTTCATAGTTATCAGTTTCCTTTGCTGTTATGGTTTGTATACACTCGACCCAGGGAGTGGCACTAGTAGAAGGTGTGGCCCTGTTGGAGTAGGTGTTTCCTTGTTGAAATAGGTGTGTCACTGTGGGTGTGGGTTTTAAGACCCTCATCCTAGCTGCCTGGAATTCAATATTCTGCTTGCTAGCAGATGAAGACATAGAACTCTCAGCTCCTCCTGCACCATGCCTGCCTGGATGCTGCCATGTTCCACCTTGAAAATAATGGACTGAACCTCTGAACCTGTAAGCCAGCCCCAATTAAACGTTGTCCTTAAAGGAGTTACCTTGGTCATGGTGTCTCTTCACAGCTGTAAAACCCTAACTAAGACATTGGCTAAGCATCTTTAATGTGTTAATGTATATTGTAATTATCGAAACAATTCATATGTACTATGTTTCAAACTTGACACCAGAACTGTTTTCACAATACCGTTTTCAGTTTGTTAGTGTTCCAAAGAAAGCGCATTAACAAAGTCTGGCTTGTGGGGAGAAATTGCAGACTCATTTATTCCCTGTGGCTCAGCGTCTGCATCTTCAGATGATTTGGGACACATGAGATGTATCTTCCTATCTTACAGGAATGCACCACGCCCCCACCAGCACTCATGTGCATAAGAATTTGCTCCCCTCTGCCTCCATTTCCCAAATGAGTTTTTCTCCTTGTGAAAACCTTAACATTCTCTCTGCACCTAAAGTACTTGCTATGGTCTGTATTCCATATCATTTGTAAATACATCTCCACAGTTTCTTTTTATCTTT